ACTGACATACCACATAGTTGCACAATTAACTTCTCGAACTTCGAGGGCCAGTATGTTGCAGGATCAACTACTGTGATTCCCGCGATCTTGCTACGGCACGAGAAGTGCAAAAACGCATAATCGCACCGGCCCGCCTGGTGCGTTCCAGCCTGGGTTTTGATGCAAAAACGCATGATCGCACCGGCTCGCCTGGTGCGTTCCAGCCTTTGTTTAAATTAGCTGAAATATATAGTCTGCTTCTCCAACTGCTGGCAGATTTTCCACTTCCTTTAACTAGTGCTACATTTGATCCTTGCTTCATTTTCAGAATTGTCAACTCAACCATTCTCCTAGCGGATGCAATTCGTGCTGTAGAAGGAACAAAATGGATATTTTTTGTTAATAATTTACAGATGGCGCTGGACGATTTGTCGCTGCACGATATTAAAGCGGTCGCTGAACAAGTGTATTCGACTTGCGCTGTGCTGCTGCATAAGCCGTTCGTTCGGTACGAGCACTGCTGTGACAATCCCGAGCTGGACGAATTCTTGGACTGCTCTGCTTGTCAACAGTCCGCATTCGCATACCAAACTGTGGCCCGACTAGTGGAAAAATTATGTCCCAAGCAGCAGCTTCGAATACTGGTTCATGCTGATGAGGTACAATTTCGAGTTTCGTCATAGAAACACTTACACATTGCTCCGTATTTTACAGCAGCATTGTTCACAATTCAGACCCGTATTTAATTCAGACCCCTATTTATCTGTCGTGAAAAATGGAGGTGTCCGGAAGTAGCAAGTGAGATATATGCTAACAACAGTCACCTGCTGGTAATGATACCGATGGCTGTTTCTGTATTTTGCTTAAAAGCAATGACAGTTTTGGCTCTTTTATATGCGGTGGTACTCGGTCATCACGGAAGGGGAAAGAAGGATTTGTAGAGGGGCGACTGTCCCGCTGGGGAAGTGAAATCTTCGATTTTCAGCATGAAAATAGCGCTATTTACTGCTGTACTGCGTCGTTATCCTGCAGATGATAAAAGCATTCTGTCCTGCTGTTTACACACATTCGTCTTAATTTTCACTTTCCACGTGCTGCCTCTATCATTTGATAGACTTCATGCCATATTCGATTCAGTATCAGTTCTTCTCAACTATTATTGTGTCTCTTCTAAGGAAGGAAACGTTAATTTCCGGTTACACTTGCTCAGCATAAATTCGGTCGCTCAAGCGGTATATGGTCTTTTCAGCCTTGTTTATTTGAAAAACTGCTCTAACCCCGCATTACCGATTTACTTCATTTCTTCTAAGCAAGTGAGGGAAAGCATCCCATGTCTCTCGGCGGATTTTTGCCTCCTCTTATTAATATGCTTTGAATTTCCACCCTGTATCTGCACTGCCAAAACTGCCGTATTCTGTAAATGCGCTCACCCGTCCAGGGATTCCCATTTTTCGTGACATCCTTTTTTTTTCGATTTATTAATTTCTTCTTTCATCAGTGTGCCTGACGGGCGCTGGCCGAATGAGGCTGTTATTTTTATAGATATTCAACTTTTATACATCGATCCTGAAGCATTGTAGTCTAGCAATATTCAGAATTAACATGTTGATAAATGGCACACTTCATTGCGCCATCTGTTAGAAAAGCTCTGCCGACTGATGCAGCCAGACTGTTGAGAAAAGGCAGTTTATCTACGCAATATAAATGGAGCCTCATCGAATCATTAAATAGTTTCAGCCGACAATAAACTGGGAAATGCAGCTTGCTGATGTGGTGTCGCAGAAATCACCGGCGGATAAATCGGCATCTCCGGCTACGGTTTCGGTCTCGGATACTCTCTCACCATCAATAACTCAAAAATCAGCGACATCACAGCCAGCTGTTGGGCTTCAGTTTCAGACTGCCACTGTCCAGGAAGAAAGTATCGAATTTGTTGGTCTGCTGCCCAGCGAAGAGGTTTCTGCACTGTGTTTTTGTTATCGTCGGGAAATATTTGAACTTTTTTAAAACGATTTGCGTCACCTGTATCTAAATTTTTACAGTAATGTTTTTACTATGGCTACTTTCGAACTTTTTTTGAGTCTTATTTTCATTACCTGAATTGTTGAATCACTGATCTTATTACTATTATTTCATTATTATTATTACTATTATTATTATACTGAAT